CAGAGCGAGTAAGGGGAAAATTAGGTTTTATCACATTATCATAGCTATTTGGATTTAGTAGTAAAATTAACCATGAGGCAAAGCCCTGCTGTGTGGATTGGGATGCATCTTGATTCTTCACAGCACAGAATACTTAACAAATTGTTCCCTTTGACCATAGTATCTTTTATGCTCCAAAGTCTCTGGAATATGCAAGTACAGCTTCAAGTGGGGCCTGCCCTGGGTTTATTGCAGCTTAAAATTATAACAAAGAAATCTCCATATACAGGTTCCTTGACATTTTTTTAGGTGTTTTTAATTAAAACTATATTCAAATTATGACTTTTCAGACAGATGATTGTACAGGCATCTGTGTGACAGACAGCTGTGGATTTTTTTTGCAGGTGTCTGTGCTTTAGTAATACTGTATTGTTTGCAATAAGAGAGGGGTTAAAACCAGATAAAAACTTTTTCAAAATCTAGGTTCAGTCAAAGTACCAAAATTCAGATCCACATGTGGGACTTTCATAAAGCTTTTGTAGCATTTGGGCCTTGACTCAGCAAAGCAGGGAAGGGCAGTAGTTAAGGTTATTACTGAACACTGCACTTCTGCTAAATTTAAGCACATGCTTAAATCAATGGGATGTAAAGGCATGCATGGAACTGACCATCTAATTTGTGTGCTAATTTGGGGTTTTTGATCTGGTTAGGCCCATCTCTATTCGGAGTTGCTATAAAATGGAACTTATAAAAAACCTTTCTCCAGGACTCTACTCAGTCTCTAGAACTCCTACTGTCCCTATTCTTTAAGTGAACTTACCTGACATTTCCCAGCAATTAAATCCATGGACCCTCATCTGTAGATGGAGCAGAAATACAATCCATCATAGGATCAAGAGGTGCAACTTGTTCCATTTTGAATGCCTGCCTGCAATGGCTGTGGAAAATGCCCAAATCACTCTTAGGACAAAGATTAGAATAAAGCCAGGAGCTAATAAACTTGATTGAACTCATTAAAGTCTCCCTATTTTATTCTTATTCATATTTCACTGCAAATGGATACTTTCATAAGAAAGCCTTCTGTTTATAATCAAACTTTTCATCCAGAAAGATTTCAAAGCATTAAACAAATTGTAGAGGGATATATTCCTGTATGATTGAAATACAGTCACCTCTAAAGGAAAAGCTGGCAACTGTTTGATATAAATTATATCTAATAGTTTGATTACCCTTCCTTTTAAAAGATGAGTTCTCTTAATGTATCAGAAGCATGCTTCTCCTATCCCTTTTCTCATCTATCATCCTACCTTGGGCCCAAAGCCATTCTTTGTCCTTTCTGAGCCTTTGTTTTTCATAGGGGACTTTGAGGTAATGGTGAACATGTTCTTCTGAACTCCAGAAAAAAGAAAAAAAAAAAAAAAAAAAGATCTCAATCTAACATTAATTCTGTTTTACCCAGAGACCGAAGAGACCAGACAGTTCAGAGCTTAATATGTTCCTCACGCCTGGAGGTGACATGACAGTCCTCGTCATTTGACAACGAATTTAAAAATATTTGTCTGGAGCCAAGAGTCACCACCATAAAGATTGTTCAGTGTGCTGCAAGTTTTAGGCCAGCAAGGCTGTTATTTTATTAAGGTGTCTCAGAAAGTAATACTCCTTTGTAAACAGCCCTTGTCTTTGGAAAAGACCTTTCTCTACTCCTATAATTTTTTTGTGCATCGATGACAGAGCAGGCATTAAATCTGGGCAGAGATAATGCCAGGTGATAAATTCTTTTACTCCTGACCTCATAAATCAATTGGCAGAACTGTACACTGCTTGGTGTAACAGTATGCCATTTTTAATTTGTTACTACTGCAGTGCAAACTAATTTTAGCACCTTAATTCTTGTTCTCTTCTGCAGTTTGCAAAGCAACTCTAGCTAAAACAATACAATAAGTGGCTATATTTATTGGCCTTATACCAACAACTGACAACATGAAAATCACAATTGATGCCAGTATTAGTGTTACTACATCTAGGTAGCAGGGGAAAAAAAGAATTGCATTTTCAGTATGATTTTTATCAGCTCACAAGTTGTTGTTAGAGCCTTTTGACAATTGAACTAGTTACTCAGATAAGAGGGATATATATGAAGAATAGCAGTGTTGCTAGATTTCAGTTTACTGAAGAGAATAGATTCTAGTTCTCAACAACGTTTTCATAGCTAGAAATCTCAGAGGTCTTAATGGGCTCTATCCCTCAGAGAATGTGGTGGCTGCATGTAACTATGGGGAAAGACATTTTTCAAATTCTGTGGTGATCTTATGGAATTCTTCTCCTGTTGTCCTGGAAGATTTTGGTGGGTAGTCAGAGACCTACCCTAAGCTTTGAGCACTCTCTACCCGCCCTGACTTCCAAGGCATTTAAATGGACTGCCTCCATTCTAGTTTTGTTCCTCCCAAGCTCCAAGAGGTACTCAAGTAAAGACTCTTTGCATTAGGCTTGGGTTCTGTGTAGAAAAGACAATCTGTAGCTCTGGGTAAGACAATTTCATTAACAATGAGAGAGGCAAGGGTGATACTTTTTATAGGACCAACTACATAGCTGGGATAGAGTTCGACAGTCTTCCAAATACAAGACATTCTTCATCAGGTCTGAGGAGTGAAACATATGGCACAACATATGTGCCATAACTTCCATTAACAATGAGGTATCAGGAAACTGTGTGTGGCAGAGCACAGGTTGTGCCTGCCACTTTCAGGGGCTTGAGCAAGCTGTGGAGCAGCTGGCAGGTGTAGCCTTGCCTGATTAGATGGTCACATGGCCCATGTAGGCCAGATTTGAAAAGCCTGAGGCCAGAAAGGGCCAGAGGCTTAAGTTAGCCCAGAGTGTAGGACAGTAGGCATGACACCCCATTATTGAGTAGGGCCTGAATTGGGTGGCCTGAAGGTGTGTGAGGGGCCAGGACCAAGAGTGCAAGAGATGAAGCCTGAAGAGCTGTATAGAGTAGGGCATTGAGGCCCATGGTAGGACGAGAATAACTGAGGCCCAAAAAAGGGGCAGAGTGAATATGGCCCTGCTAGAGGCAGTATGAGAGAGGTTTAGCACAGGACTGAGTTCAGCCTGGTAAGGGACCAAGATAATTGTCACCAGTATGTGATGCCATCTGAGAGACATGGGACACAGTGCTGAGGTGGTTCAAAGCCGTGAATTATGCCTTTGACATTTGGGGCAAGAAATGGGCAGCCTCCCACCTATCACCAACTATTTAATTCCAACAAAGGTGTGGCAGGAGAGTCAAGTAGGCGGACTGCACTAGACAGGTGGGCAGGCTAATGATAGGACTGGCCTCGAGATGGCCTTCTGTCACACTGTCACAAAAGAGGTTGGTTTGTGAAATGGGTGAAAAGCAGGATCAAGGAGAAACAAGGAAGGGAGAGAGTACCCACCACTTAAAATGGGTCACTGCTGATGTGGACAACCATTTATTCAGGGCAGTTAGCTTTAGCCATCTGCCAACTTCATAGATTTCAATACCAAAGGTATTGTTTACACTGGGTTAAGTGTGACACCTAGTTTGAGCAGACTAAGATGGTCAGACCTCATTGCAGACTAATTTTCTTACAGAGGCACAGATTGTTACATGCTCTTGGACAGTCAGTCAGTCAGTGGTTTGTACCTCCTTGAGCAGAAGTGTGCCTTCCATTCATTTGAGGGAATTCTGAGTGCCTGGTTAATGTTTGAGATGTGCTGCATGGTTTAACCATTCGCTTCATATCAAAAACATATAGCATTAGCTCAGTGTGACCACCTTAGGCAGTGGGGATTTTATATTAAAATTATGATCCTGCAACCATTACTCATTCCACACTCAAGAAAAGCTCCAGCTTAGCATCTTTCATATACCCTGTTTGCAAGCATTTCTGTACAAACCTGTATGCTGCTCTTGCACAGTGAAATAATAATAGCAGAGGAAGAGAGAAACAGGAAGGCTAAAGGAATGGGAGAGAAGATAAGAACTGAAAAGAGATGGGCAATTAATGAGACAGAGAGCTGTAGAAAGCCATTTGGAGATGGCAGGTCCTGAAGAAGAGAAGGCTCTTGCCATGTCTTTTGCAAAATTGAATGAACGGTTAGAAAAAAAAAATCTTCTTTCAGATTAGCAGAGGAAATCTGAGGGAGAGCTAAGGTCTCTTGAAGTGAGTTGTTGAGATTTCATGTGGGGCTTTGAACCAAGGAGTGTAGTTTTGACCTAGACCCTAAAATGAATGGTTGATATGACTTAGCTCTCAGACAAGATCATTCAATGAGCTAGCTTGTATTTCAGCAAGCATGTCACTACCAGACATGTGAAGCTTTTCCATCTTGAAACACATACTACATTTCTTACCTCCCTGAGAACTACAAAAATATCATTGGAGCTTGGATCAATGTTCCTGTGATCCTGGGTTCCCTGTCTTGGGGTCGAAGTGTGAGATGACAGTGCTGTCATGTTAAAAAAAAATAAGATATGGCTAAATAACTTTTATATTTATTGGTTGAGATGCTATCTATCCAGCCTCTGGGTAAATTTCTGATGTCCTCAGGCCTGCTCTCAAATATCAAAAGTGTCATCAGGTTGTCAGTTGCACAGGCAGAGTTCCCATTGACTTTGCATATCATTGCAGCCCAGAAAGCTGGCCATACTGGGACCTTGAGTGCTGCATAAGTAAAGATGAAAACAGGAATGGGAAATCCATAAAGACAGTTCTGAATTCCACCTTGGTCTGCAATAAAAATGTGCAAAAAGAAAGCCTGGAGCAAAGGACCTGAGTGCCTGTTGCAGTGAAAATCTTGGGCTTTTCAATTTTAAGCAAGGATAACTGTCCCTACAGCTTTTTCGCCCTCTTCCCTGATTACCCTTGTAATGTCATTCTCCCACTCCGCCCAAGCTGGCATCTCTCCACACACATGGCTGAACAAGGGATGGAGGGAGCTAAGTAGAGTGCTGCTGCTTCTTGGCAACTGACTGAAGCTCTTTTTCTTATCTCTTGCAGAAATGTTCAGTACTCTATCCCCTGGCTTTCTGCACCATATGTAAATGTTCTCTCTGGTGCTAACTTGTGAGATTGATCAAAATGCAGCTATCACAGTGGACAGCAATAATGTGGAAGAGGTAGGTTCATCAACCAGGAGTCGCAATTGATGATAATACTGTTTCTTCATTGTGTATTGTTCTGGCCAATCTTGCTGGCTTACTGGTAGCAGAAGTGAGGCAGCCAACAGCCTGGGCCCAATTCAGCACCTCACTAAATGGTGGGGAAACTCTCCCTTCTGCTCTCTTAGTGCTCTAGCTTGAAGGAAACTATCTATGCTGTTCTCATATATATGAGAAACTTTTGTTATTGAGTTAACTGGGAATAATATCAGACCTGTAGAGCCAGGCATGATATAAGAGAGTCTCAAGAATATAGTCTCCCAATAGGTAAGTCCAGTGAGTTTTCTGAATTTAGCATTGGTAACTGGATAAACATGCTGAGCACCAATCCCGTGAGGATAATGAGATGTGCTATGTTTAGAATAGTTTATAAAAAGGGTGTCATGAAAGTGCCATCAAAGGTTACTGAAGAGGCTGCTGAACTGGCAGAACTGATTTATGTCCATGAGATCCTTAGAGACTGAAAGCTTAGAGGTGAGGCTAAACCACATTCAGCAATGGATGGTGCAAGCAAGATCAAGGGTATTTTTTAATCACTATAATTGGGGGCCTCCACTGGGAGCCCACCCAAAACCTGATTCAGCTTCAAGCAGCTTGCTGTAGCCATGCCCTGTGATTCCTGTTGTGTCTTTAGGTCAGCTGTAGTGATGCAGGCCTTGTTGGAGCGTGGATTGGTAGAGCCATTGATAAGTGCATATAGCATGCACAGACCACCCAAGCTGAGGGAGCCTGATGTAACTAGTACTACTCTACCCCTGACCACACCTGAGTCTGACAAGTGATAAAAGTAAAAGTTTGCTTTAGCTTCTCTGCCAATCGAGCATTCTATTCAGTGCTTGTTTGATTTTTTTTTTCTGATATAAACTTGTTTCCCCTGGAAATAGAATCTGCCATAGCAACTTAGTTATATCTATACGCATCTCCATGAAAAATAAAGGTTCCATTTTATTTTGTGAACACTGGTTTTTGATTGTAATATGATACAGGACTTTCCTATTTTGTTTTTTTGCCTCAGCCCTGGACTAAAGTTTCAAGATGTGTTAACACACAATGTTGACAAAATGTGAAACCCAAAACTGAATAACTTTGTCCTAGCAATACAAGGGGTATGCCAATAAGTGTAGTCAACACTGTAAAAACCCCCAGTTTTTCTAGGCAAGTGGATGGTAGCCTGAAGGGGTATTTTGATCTTTAACCAAAACCCGAAGAATGACCAAGGATGGTGAGGCCTCTGAGTAGGTAATTGGTCACAAGTGGGTGTCCTATTTTTCCCAGACCTATGTATAATCTTGATATTTGCCTAGTTAAAGTATGTTAAGAAATGTAGGGTATCTTGGATAGATTAAACTGTTACCCAGAGTGCAGTTGAGCTTGGAGTCAGAGCATATATAGAAATGAATGTGAAGATATGGGAGAGTGGGGATTAGTCTTAACCAAGAATCACATGGATGTAGCATAAGATGTGTACCCACAATGGGAAACTTAGCCTGAACAGTTGGACTGTGACAACTATCAGTTAATTTAATATCTCTACAAGATCAAGTTACTGTCAGCAAATTGATCTTGCTGATTGACTGGATTTGGAGACGCATGCAATTTCTGAATTGTGCCCTTATAGGTAAAACAACTTCCTATGAAAGAGAGATGGCAATGTACATAGCTCCTCAGTTTTTTTCCATAAAATACCTTTGAATATCAGCTTGCGCTGTATCTGTTGCATAACTTCTATAAAGCTCTTAGAAAACATTTATTTAGACTAATCTTCTTTCTTCCTTGAACAAATGCTTCCAATGGTTAGCGGCTGGCTACATAAGATTTTGTGTCATATGGCTTCTTACATCTGGCTTAAGGAAGTCAGCTTATTGAGTGACCATAACTATTCCCATATTACATCAACTTTAAAAGGAGAATTAACTAGTTAGGTTACTGTGTATTTTGGCAATAAGTAGAAATGTCTTAGTAATTAAAAGGGGTTTCTTTGGTATTTCTGAAAAAAACCCAAATTAATAAGAAGCAGAACTCTCATGGAAATGTCTGTTTCAATAGCATTTTAATTTGGAAGGGTTCTCAGGTCCAGGATGGAATTTCTCATCAAGACAAAAGTAAGATAGCCCTAAAATAGCCAATAGCTCTGCTTCAAGTCCCTGCTCTAAATCTCCCTCATTTAAACTATAGACCCAATTCCCCTTCCTCCCTGCCCTCCCATCTTTACCCAATGAAAATTAAATTAGTCGTTCAAGAGAGAACAGCTCTACTTATTTGAAAGACCTATTGGTCAGATCATTTATATGGGATCAGTTCAAGTCCCTGTTAGAGTTTTGGAGTACCACATTCATAGTACCTTAAGTTACAGGCTATTGGCTATTGTAGGACTGGGAGGGTCCCTTGCTCATTTTCTCATAGATAATATTGAACAATATTCTTTTTTTTTCTTCCCTGATGTAGAACAGAAACAGTTTTCAAAATCTTGATATTTTTCACAGAACTGAATTCTCATTTTCCAGCCAGCCCTAGTAATCAACTTATTGAGGTAAAAGTAAAGAGGATCTTACCTTGAAGACAGGGGGTTTGGAATCATGAGCTCTGGGTTCTAATCCTGAGTTGTCCACAAACTCCTTTGAAGGAAAGGGAATTTGAGACGGTCATTGGAGCCAGTCTTTTCAAAAGTGACCACTTGGGGTCCATTGTTTCTGAAATACACAATAGCCACATGTCTTAGATTGGAGTCAGTGGGATCAGTGGGTGTTGAGTAGCTCTGAAATTTGAGCTCTGTTTCTCAGATTAAGCATTCCAGGTTGGCTATTTGTGAAAAATTTGGGCTTAATCTCATGTTGTTGGATTTTTTTCTACCTGAAAATAAGGATAGTGGTGTTTATCATTGAAACACACTTCTGAAGTAGCTAACTCCATCAATGAATGTAAAGCACATTGATAGTATAGGGAAATGCTTATAACTATATTAGTGTAAAACAAAGTTTTATAAAAATGGTCTTTATGAAGCTGGGGAGATGTTATGTTCTTTTAGGTGTGTCACAGGGAAAAGCAGGAGGGAGGACCACAAAATACAAAGGGGAAACCCCGGGGACAGGAACCCACAGACAAAAAAGAAGGAAAAGTCGAGGGTAAAGGGAAACACTTACCCACAGCAAGACCCGTGGTGAAACAGGAACCTGAAGTAAGACCCGCGCAGATCATAAGCCGTGCCTTTATACAGCTGTGGCTGGCTGGTGATGTCATCGGCAATCACCGGCCAGCGGGAATAAAACAGACCACTGGTGAAGATGAGGGGAGAGGGAGATTGGTGCCGGCAAGAGCACCAGCAGGAAGTGCCTCTCCAAAGCTCCTACGGGAGCGAGAAGAGTCGGAGGCTGCTTCCTCCAGTGGGGAAGAACCCTCCAGCATGAGCTGCAAGCCAGAGACTGCTGGCTGCAGCGAGAGGAGTCAAGAGCCAGAGGTGGCTCCCAACGACTGGGAATGCAGGCATAGGAGCAAAGGGGCACAGAAAGACCCCAGTGCCAGTGGCTTCAACAGAGGGGCTGGAGAGGCCAATACAACTCCCCACGCCAGACCAGGTGGGACTATCGAGGGCACCAGGAAAGCCAAAGAGGTGTACCAGGTGGGAGACAGGAGGCAAGGGCACTGCGAGGGGCTGCAAAGCATGGCCACCAGCGGCGGGGTGCCAATCCTGCAAGCAATGGAGGGACAGGTGTCTACTGGAGGACTACAGGTGGTCCAAAGAAGGAAAAGGCTGGGTGATGGGGGAGAAGAGCCATGGAGGAGTCCACAGGCTACCCCAGCTACATACAGGGCCTAACCCAGACCCAAAGTGCTGAAGGGCGGGTGGTCGGCAACTAGGCAGAGGGGGTCCGGCAAGGGAACAGTTGGGTTCCTCAGAATGTAATAGTGGGTTTCTTTATGTTTTATGTTTCCCCCTTTTGGAGGGACTGAGGGGTAGAGCTCTTTTGAATCTTTATTGTTGCTTAAGACCTGGGTTGGATTGCTAGCCTTAGGGAAAAGGTGGCAGGCTTGCAATCTGGCAAGGATACCTCAGGCTACTTAGCTTTAGCAGGGAGGGTCACCCCCAACGGAAGCAATCAGGGGCTCAACGGTTGGGAGCTTGGCCGTGACGACAAGAGTAACCCATCAAGGCTTGGTGTAAGGGCGAGGTACAGGGGAGGTGGAGCCTCGCAGAAGACCACTGGATAAATGTTCCGCCGCCAGGAGACCCCAAGTGGCCGGACCCTCCACTGAAAGAATATTCACAGTCATGGCAGGAAAGATTGGGGAAGACCACACTGGGGTTAAACACCTTCTTGACAGTCCACAGGGGACGGTAGGGCAAACACCACCAGCCATCTGGGCCAGAGTCGCATGTGACCGGATGTTCGAGGCCAGGTGGGCACAAGGTGGAGTAGGGAGGAAAGCAGCAAGAGAAATAGCCTAGAAGTCAGAACTGCATCACGTCCTGTTCAGAATCATTTGAGACATCAGTGGGCTGGAAATGGGAACATCTAGCAGAGTGGGAAAAGTGACTAGCCATAGCCAATGTCAAAAAGGAGCAAGCCTGAATCCAAAGGACGAGTAAAAATATAGAGTGGGCTGGCAAGTAGTACAGATGATTTAAAATATGTAAAAATAAGTAAATAAATTAATAAAGTAAGGTAAATGGAATAGATTTGAAAATTCCAAATGGGATTTTGTGTAATTTGCAGTGCAAAGTCATACGAAATATTCACATAGCCTTAGAAAGTACCAGCCATGAAGGAAATTTAGGGACATTTTTGTATACTAAGGATAGAAAAAATTACTAATGGTACAAATAAACGGCAGCTGTGAACATATTTTAAAGAGTGTTATAAAAGCACTTGAGGGTAAAAACACTACGGGGTACAAATGCTAGGCTTAATTGGCTACATGGTATCCTTCCATCCTGAAATGTCACTGGAGAACCAGTGTCAACTTTTCTACTCATATGCTGTCCAGGGGATAATAAACGGAGCATTTGTACATGTCAAAATTGTGTTCTTTACTATTACAATTCTGAATAAG